CATTCCATTCCCAGGTAAATTTTTTTTATCAACTTCCCAAATAATCCTCATGTTCCAACTCCAAAAACCACCACTACCTTCTGTGTAATACCCCTAGTTTTAAAAAGGATAAAATTGAAATTTCAATTATTTTTATTGCATTTTTATGTGACTAGTTGCTTAGGTGTTTAATTGTTTTATTTGATTTATATTGTTAATTGTGTATTTGAATGTTAAATTAAATATGTTGTTTTATTTTTTTAAACGAACCTGGGTTTGAATAGGATTAACGGACTGTTTGGATGGAATAAATGGGTACAGTTTTACCCATGGAAGTATATACATGTATATATGAGTATATATATATATATAGGGTTAGTTTTCATTATTGGTATTTATTAATAATCATAATTTAATATATATTATAATTTTAGGGTTACGTATATTCTGTTGTATCGTATGGGCCGACTAGGTTTTAAAGAGGTTTTCAGTTTATGATTTTAATTCGATTTTAAGTTTAGGGTTTTATTGACTTAGGATTTGGAATTCGTTATAAATATATAACTTATACGTCTCTAGGGTTTGAGAACCCTATTCACAACACAGTGAGGGTAGAACATCATAACAGAGACTTGTGAGAAAACTGAACGTGAGAAAATTGAGCGATAGTAGTCAAGGTTTTGGCCAAGGATTGTAGGCCGGACCAAAGAGGAAGGTTGAGGGATGTTTGTGGGTTAAACCAAGAGTGGCAGAGGAGGTTCAATGGAACTAAGGTCGCCGGAAAAACCTAGGAAGAAGATGGTGAAAGGTTTCATATCAAAACCTTTAAAGAAGCAAGTTCTTCTCTTTCTCCTTCTCATTGGCTCGTGTTCTGTGCACTAAGATAGTCTCTAGGGTTTAATCAATTAGTAACTGGAATTTACATGTTTATTATATGCTTTATTGATGATCTGGTTGTGTTGAAATCATATTTGTTGTAACTCATGCATGTATGTTTTCGGTTCTGTTTTCTTAAGGCATGTGAATTCTATTGTAATTTCAGTTACTGTTTTTGCTTTCAATTACTGTAAATGAACCATGAGATTTTTACTGGGATTGGATAAGACTCCTAAGATTAGTTTGTGAAAAGGAACAGAGGGGTTAGGATAGAACTGTTGTTGCAAAAATAGTTTCAGTTTTATTCCTAACGCGTGTTAGTTCGGTAGCAAATTTAATCTCTGTAATTGATTTTAATTGTTGATATCAAACCATTGGGATGCTACTGGGTATTAATAAGACACCTAAGATCAGTTTTAGAAACCAACGGAATGGTATAAATAGGCTGGAGATGAAGCAGAAGGTCGGAATCGGAGAGAAAACTGGACTGGAGGCTCTCAAGGGGGAGAGAGCCGGCTCTAGAAAGCCAAGAGCTGGCTCTCCTTTAGCAAGAGCCAGCTCCAAGGGTGTTTGGAGCCGACTCCAAGTGGGAAAGAGCCTGCTCTTTTATTTTAGAGCAGGCTCCAACATTTTTGTGCGTTCTGTGAATGGGTTTTACGAACTGTTTGATACTGTGGGCACTGTTTGAGCTTTTGAATGGTTCTAGTGGGTTGTGGGGACTTCACAGAGGGTCTAAATGGTTAACTCTAAGTGTTATTAAACTCATTGTTACATGGTTTAAGTCTCTATGATAAAGGATGAAGCAGTGTAAAAATATACAACTGTGCATGCTATTAACAGAAGAAAGGAACAGAATGGCTTAATTAAATTTTAAAAATTTAATGAGACTTAACAGAGGGATTAAATAGGTAATTTTGGGTGTGATTAAACCTTGAAATGATTTAAGTTGATTTTTAAATCAATGGGACAAAAAGTATAAAATTAATAAATTTTCTACGCTGTTAACGGATGGAAGACGGATTAATTGCTTAATTAAATTTTAGCAATTTAATGGGATCCAGTATGTTAATAAAACTTGTTTTCAAATGCATGATAAGGTTTTATATTGGATTTGATCTATGCATATTTTGGATGCTAGTTGTTGAACTGTTAAACAATAAATGGTTTAAACTCTTGGATTTAGATTGCTAAAACTTAAAACACTTTTCTGCAATAATATGGATATTTGGTTTTGGATTGTAAATTACTTACTTATTATTTATATATTGCAATTTACACGGATATGGAGGATTGTATGCACCGGTATGGGACAGTGACATACTAGGTATGGTTAACTCAAAACGTTAATTCCTACCTTATGGATTTTAATTGGTGAACAGTTTTACCTGTTCGATCAATTATATAGATTTTGTGGATTGTATGCACCAGTATGGGACGGTGGCATACTAGGGACAGACTAATTCAAAATACTCAGTCCTACTTATTTTGGAATAAGGGTACGAATTATAAAAAAATATAATTCTCCTTATATTTAAGTCTGTGCAGTTGAATAAGCTAAACGACTTACTGGATCTCTTATATAAGTCTGTGCAGTTGAATAAGTTGTACGATTTATTGGAGTTCCTATGGATGGATATGAATGGACTTTAAATATATGGTTATGGTACCACGAGATGAGCTTGAGTCTCAGACTTGTTGGTCAGGGTGCGTATATGCGGTGGATGCGTAGCTGGCTATAGTAGGTTGAGGTGTACCCTGTTAGGTCTAGGTACTTATGCCCACCTTTGGGTGCGTTTTCGCATGTTACCTTCTATTCAGGTTGAGACCCCTACTGTAATCCAGTGAATGTCCTTTAGTGTGGATATATATATATATGTATGGACTAGATAGCTATTGTTGAGATATCTAGGGTGTATCTGCATATCGGGTCACTGTTTTGATTGTAGTTAGAGAAGAATTTGCATGTGGGTCTGACCCACTCTTATTTTTTCAGGTATTCATTAGTTCCAGTCTTAGAGCTAGATCATGCTGAGCAGATACAATCATTCACTCCACCGATACTGTAGAACTTTGTTTCATGTTTTAGGCTTTGGTTATATTTCCGGTCATTTGAGTTCAGTGGGATATTTTAGAGGTCCACTACATAGATTCCCGAGTTGTATAATTTGGAGAACGATTTGTATTCGTGGAGGATCAGTAGTAACAAAATAGTTTATTTATCAATGGAATTATTTATCCTAAGGTTTCAATTATTGGATTATCATTTTAGTTTTCATTTCAGCAAATTTTATTTATCTCATTTGTTTTAATTGTATTCTGTGTTCGATTATTGCTAATTGGTTTGATATCCTCAGGTAGTCGGGCGTGGGCCTGGCCAACCCGCATCAGGAAATCTGGGGGTATCACATTTCACAACAGCCACTTCCGTCTTTCACCACCACCACCATCGACTTCCATTGCCTTTCACCACCGCCGCCGCCATCGCCATCGCCTTTCACCACTGCCACCACCATCGCCTTTCACCTTCCACCACCACCTTCACCGTCGCTACCTTCCATCGCCACCGCCGCCACCACCACCAACGCTGTCACTGCCCTTCACCACCACCACTGGCACAGCCTTCCACCACACTACCGTCTTCCATCACCACCGTCACCACCTTCCGCCACTGCCACCGCCTTTCACCACTACCACCGCTACCGTCTTCCACCACTAATGTTACCGTCTTTCACCACCTTCACCTTTCACCACCACCACCGCCATCCCTTCCACTACCGTCACCACCTTCCACCACCACCATAGTCACCTCCATTGATTTCCACTATCGTCACCTATACCATTATCTCCCTTCACCACCACCACCACACTACTGCCACCATCACCTACACCAATATGTTTCTTTCTCTGTCTTTAATTTGCTTTTCTCTACTAATATATATATATTTTTATTATATATACAAATATATACACATATATTCTCTTCTGCACTCAATATATTTTTCAACTACTCTATATGTGTTGGGCATCTCTTTCAAATTTAACTTTGATAAAAAAATATTAAATCAAACTACAATCATTAACAGCTTTAAGTGAATTATGTAAATTAGGGTTCTTATTCACGAGAAATAGATCATTTGGTAAAAAATTGTAACTTCTAATTTAAATTATTTGAAGATTTAATAGAAGGGATTTCTTATTCACGAGAAAGCGATCACTCATTTATGGTAAGAAATTATAATTTATAATTTTAATTATTTGAAGATTTAATAAAAAATGTCTATCCCAAACGAAGATATACACTAGAAGAATTGAGTTCAAGTTACTAGGTGTGGTAGTGTTGATCATGTGATAAAAGGTGCATACCACAAGTGCTCCACTTCACTATCCTAGGTCCAACTAACGAGTCATCTTATTAAGTTATATGAGAGTTTAGATTCTATAAAGTTTTTCTATTTTTTCTCAATTGTCTATATTAAGATATTTTTTATATTAATATTTTTTATATTAAAAAATTTACTTTTAAAATATACAAAACAGCCAAATATATTAACAATTAAGTACTCACCTAATTCAAGATAAAATTACAAATCAAAATCCATGAATTATAGAATGTTCCTTTTTCTTGAAATTAACAGTTCCAAATGTATAAAATACAGTACCGGCATTATGAGACGTGATCAAGAGCCATGACATCACAACTTTTTATATCCCGATCCAACGGCCCAAAATCATGATTTCACACAGACCAAAATTTTCTGACCGTACACAATCATTACACTCCCTTTCTTTCAAAAGAACATGTGTTAGGAATGTCCATCACAGAGTGTGGAAGGACATACCCTTTAGGTGGGACCCACTCTCCGGCAGTGATGGTGATTCTTACCCAAAACCGTAATTTCAAACTAATTTGAGGGTAGCAAATTTAGGGTAATCCAAAAATACAGTGGCATTTTCGTAGATACCCATAAGATTACGTTGACTGACTCCTTTAATTTAGCCATTTAACCTCTCAATTACCAAATCTAATTCATTCTTATTTCCCTTTTATCCCCCAAATTCTATATAATTTCCAATGTATACGTGGGTGGGTGTATAGATATATATATACTATATATATATATATATAAATATATAAAATGTTATATTAGTATATTTTTGTATTATATTTTTTTCTGCCTTGTTTCTTTACCTTCTCTTCAACCATTTGTTTCTTCGATTTGGTGATCTGTTTCCTAAGACAACGGGTACTTGATCTTTGTTCTTGTTCTAATTGGTCACTGATGAGTGACTGGTGACTGAGAATTCTGCAATGAGAATTCTAGAGAGAGAATGAGTGATTGATTGGGATTTTTTTTTCCCAGATGGGGTTTTGACGTTATGAGCGGTGATTGTTGAAAGGGTTGAGTTATATACTCATATTGAGATATATATTTGTTGGGTTTTCGGATTTGTTTTGGATTTGATATGGGTTGGTGTTTTCCATGTTTTGGATCGTCAAACAAGGAAGGGAATGGTGTGAAAGAAGTGGTGAAGAAAGACTCTGTAAAGGAAGGTTCAGCAGCTCAGTCTCACCATGTGACCAGAGTTGGTTCAGGTAGCAACTTCATTTTTTCATCAAAAAGATTGGTTTTTTTTTTTTGTATATATTCTGTGATGGGTATTTTATGTATTTAATTGTTTCGATTGGTGGATAAGCTTGTGGTTTATGAATTTTGCGTTCGTCTGATTTTTTAGTTTTGGCTTATTTAGAATTTGGGTAGTTAAATTTTTTTTTTAGTTTAAACTGGTCCATCTGTGGGAGTTTCTTTCATTTGGTTGTTTGCTGAATTGGAGTATTCTTAAATTCACCATCACAGTCCAGTGATGAATTTTTATTCAATGTGTTTGTTTATTGTTTGCACAGTTTAATATTTTTCCATAATGTTGTGTTTGTGGAATGTATTTTGGAGATCTGCTCTTAATTTTCAAATTTTGTGGCATTTTGCCCTAGTATGATATTTTGGTATTCATGGATTCATTATGAAATATAACTCCTTATAAGAGTCTTGCATTTCAACTATAAGTGGAGACATGGCTTGTAAAATAATAAAATAATAGAATGGAAAATTCACGTCACCAAACCCCGTTTGGGATAAAGACAAGGATGATGATGATGAAGAGCATTTCAAATGATAAATTTGAGTGTAATCACCGTCCATTAACTGATCAGCTAATTGGCAGCATTAGTTAACATATAACTATCAATAATCATAATGTCAATTCAGAATTGGGCCAATTGGCCAAGTTTGTATTCAAAATATCAAGCTCGGATTACTCCATAAAAGGGAAATCCATAGGAGTAGTGTGGTGATGCACTCTGGGTAAAATTTTATGCTTGTGGAATACTGAATGAAGTTCCACATTATATATCATTTTATTTGGTTTATAAGAAGTAGATGTTCACTACTTGATTCTTTGTTTGGCCATTATTTATATACATAATTCTTTTATGTAGAAAAATCAAAATCTCGGAGTGGTTCTGATACTAAGAAGGAACCAGCAGTTCCAAAAGATGGACCAATGGCGAATATTGCTGCCCAAACATTTACATTTCGTGAGCTTGCTGCTGCCACAAAGAACTTTAGACCAGAATGCCTGCTGGGTGAAGGTGGGTTTGGACATGTTTATAAGGGCCGCTTAGAGAGCACAGGACAGGTGAATATTTGATTGATTAAATGTGGAAGTCACTAGAACAATGTTATGAAACATGGCCACTGAAAATTTCTTCTATTAAGACTCCGTTTTTTTGAGCGTAAAATATTTTCCTTGTAAAATGTTTTCTATGTAACACTTTTTCATGTAGAATGTTTTCTTTATTTTTTATTTTCCGGTGTTTGGCGAAGGTTTTGAAAATATTTTTCAGAAATTTTTTTTGATGTCTGGCTTCTAAAAGTATTTTTGAATTAAAATTAAAAAAATTATTTGAGTCATTGATTATTCAAATTTTCTCTTACTATCAGTTGGTCCAATTATTTTTATACCAACAACAATAATTATTTGACAAGAAATATAAAAAAATAATCAATTGATTTTTGAAAAAATGATAAGGAAATCGAAACAAGTCTCTCTATCATCGAATGCAACAAGTGAGCTTTTTTTTTTTTTTTTTTTTTCTCCACTTTACGTATCACTTTTTAAGGTTTTAGAAAGTAATACTACATGTTAATCACTAAGCCAATAATGATTACAAAAAAATATAATAATAAAAGCAAATTGAAGAAACCAAAAATAGGAAATTGTATGATTGTTGTTAAGGAAGAGATTGGCCGCGTGCCTCTCACCCCACAATAGGTATTAGGCTTATTGGCTCTTCTCGTAAGAGTTGTTTTGTTTCTAATCATTATAACACATGTAAAAGGGCTCCTCTATTTATCTCCCTAAAAACTCTCTTTATTAAAGGGTTCCTTTCTGTCTCTCTCTAGACACCCTCTTTCTCTCTCTAAACTCTCTCTAGTCTTTTTTTGGTCACTAAGTAACTCTTCCATGTACTTGATTGACGTTTTCGATGCCATTTGCTTTTGTTGAGGAGATCGAGAGTGAACTTGATAGGTTCGGAAAATGACTTTTGGAGGATTAATTGGTAAGTTGTTTTGGTTAAGTTTTGGGAAATTATTTTCCTCTGTAAAAGATTTTCTTTGAATTTGGGACTACCAAACACTGGAAAACACAAAATATTTTTCAGAAAATGTTTTACGCTCAAGCAAACGGAGCCTAAGTACCTATCTCATCTGTGCTTTAATAACTTTTGGTTGGATGAGATGATTGTGTTGCAGGTAGTTGCAGTGAAACAGCTTGATCGGAATGGCCTTCAAGGAAATAGAGAATTTCTGGTAGAGGTTCTCATGCTTAGCCTCTTACATCACCCAAACCTCGTTAATTTGATAGGTTATTGTGCTGATGGAGACCAGCGTCTCCTTGTTTATGAGTTTATGCCACTAGGATCGCTGGAGGACCATTTACATGGTAAGTTTGTATGCTTTTTATGCAGTAATTATATAATCACAATTTAACGTACTCATTTATATTTCTGCCAGTAGTTCAATGGTGTTGTCATTTGATGAGATTTCAAATTAGTATTTAGGAGGACCTGTTTTTTATTTTTAATATGTGCTGCTTTTTATTCTTTTTACCACTTGACCACTTGAGAGATTTTGATAACCTGAAAAGTTTGTTATGGTTGCAATATTATTCATTATATGACAATATGGAGTAATCAATGTTTAAATAAAATTACTGATTTAGGATTTGGTTAGCTAAAGTGAAAACCTTGGTCCTGCTTTTAATTATCTATAAGAAAATAAAAAGGAAAAAATATTTGTCTTTGCATGCATGACTGCCTTCATCAATTTTGTATGTTGGCAATATGGCTCTTAGATTGAGTAAATCTTCATGAGCAAAAGCATCATATATTTATGAAACTGAGTGCAGCGATCATAAATTCATGGAATTTTAACACCTCAACTCAACTCAATAAAGCCTTTTCCCGAACTACTTTGGAGTCAATTGCATGGATCCAATTTTTCCATTCCCCTCTAACTAAGATCACATGTCATTCATGTTCTGTTGGACTTGAAAAAAGTTGTATGTTGATTGTCAAACCTACTGCAACCCTTCTTTTTCCCGGGCTTGGGACCCACTATATAAAGATAATACATTAAACATAACACATACGGAGTTAATTCCAACACATCACTAAGGTTGATTTATTAACTCAATTATTCATTTGTGTTACTTGGATACATTTTTAATCTCAAATTTCATATCAATGGCGGCATAATTTAATGGTTCTTTTAATACAAGCTAAAGTAACTCGTAATGGAGACTTTCTTTTGGGAAGAATAAACGAAGAGGACCAATAAACATGCATAGAGAAAAGAACAGATTTTACCACACGTTTTCCATTATTATTCATGTTGCATTTTCACCATCAGCTTGTAGCTTGAGCCTTGAGCGGCATCTCATCACTTTAAAGGAGAGATGCAGGACTCAAGGCCTAGTTAGGACGATTTTGTGCATTATTTATATATATAAAAAAATATTTTCTTTTTCCATAAAGAATCCAATAACTGGAGGCTATGTTACATCACTTTTAAAAAATGTCTGGAAAACACCGACATAGAACAACATCAAATAAGTATATAACATGCTTGCTTTGGTTATGTCCCCCACGTGTTTCTAGAGAGAGAGAGAGAGAGAGAGAAGAGAGAGAAGCTAATATATTTAATTGCTTCTTTGTATATTTTTTTCCTTACAATTGAGGTACTAAAGCTACTAATGCATTGGTACTCATAGACTCACCCCCACCCATCGAGATAGGGGAGGCATACTCACCCACGTAGTCCCAATTAAGATTTGAACCCTTAACCTCCTCTTTGGTAGGTGGAGAAGATACCATTCAAGCTATTGATTGGGCTCTGGTGCTCATACTTGTACCTATCATTCAAGCTATTGATTGGGCGTTGGTGGTAATACTTGTACCTATCATTTTGGGGGGAGAGAGAAAGAAAGAGAATGATGGAGATTAATTGCAGTAATCTTTGGTGTATAAAAGGCTCAAAAAGGAGGATTCTAAGACTCGAGCTGGCGTAGGCTATGTGATGTGGGTCCACATGGAGTCATGAATAATTGGGTGTTTTGGTCAACTTTTATTCTACTATTAAATTAGTATCGATTGCCTTAATTATGGGGTACTCCAAGGGTCAAGTATTGATTGCCTTAATTATGGTATAATCCAAGAATCAAGTTTTGATTGCCTCAATTATGGGTAATCAAAGAGTCGTGAGTTATACTCCTAAAATGCTATATAAAAGGATAGGATGTAAAGTCGTTGAGGGGATTTGAATGAATAGAAATATCTTATGAAGTTTCTTTGCGGGTTATTCACAATTTTTTTTTTGATAAGTAAAATTGTATTAGAAAGCGTTCAAAAGGTGAACACATCCCAAGATTAGTATAACAACCAAGAACGAAATAGAGAGAGTCCCATAGCCCCAAAGACCCCAAAAAATCCATGATCTCCTCAACAGAAGAACAATCTCTCCCCGTACCCCAGCAAAAAAGAGAACAAATGATGGAGTACTTTATCACCTCAATGGGTAACTCCTCCCCAGCAAAGAATCTTCTATTACGTTCTTTCCGCAGGCACCACCAAATACAAAGCGGAGTCGCCCTTCAGAGATCACGAACACGAATCCCCATCCTTTGCCCCTTCCAAATATCCATAAGACCCCGTGTGGTCCGAGGCATAACCTACTGAAGGCCAAAAAGACCCAACATAAGGCTCCAACAGTCATGGGTCACTGGGCAGTGCAAGAGAAGATGGTCCATAGACTTTCCATCGGCTATACACAAACACCACCGATTAACAATGATATGTCGTCTCTTTATTAAATTGTCCAGAGTCAAGATCTTACCCCAAACAGCAGTCCAAGCAAAGAAAGCCACCCTAAGAGGAGCCTTCGAATGCCAAACCGTTTTCCACGGGTAAGAGTAGGTCTAAAAGCAAGAAATACAGAAGAAGAAAGATCGGACCTGAAAAATCCCCTGTGGAGAAGATGCCCAAGTCAAGAGGTCTATCCCAGTACCATCCACCTTCTATCGATACAAAAGATCCAACAAGCCAACAACATCATCCAACTCCCAATCCTAAAAGGCTCGCCGGAACTGATCATCCCTAGAAAACCTACTGCTATCAAGGTGATAGCAGTCGGCAACTAAAGCATGACAATCCACAACAATCCTATACGACCTTGGAAATCGTCTACACAATGGACGTTCCTCGCACCAAGGATCCTCCCAAAATCGGACATTACGACCATCCCTAACTTTGAATCTAATATGCTTAGAAAACTCATCCCAATGGAATGCCACACGCCCACATCGATAGTAGATCTAACAGGTCTAGCAGACCATCCTCCTCTCTCCTCCCCAAACTGACAAACAATAAGCTTCCTCCATAGTCTATGTCTTTCACTACCAAATCTCCAAAACCACTTGCCAAGAAGAGCCCTATTGAAAGGGGCCAATCTCCGAATCCCAAGACCTCCCGACTTAAGAGGCCTGCAAACCTGCTCTCACCTAACAAGATGATATTTTAAACTCCTCCCCTCTACCGCCCCACAGAAAATTACGTTGAATCATCTCGAGTCTCCTGACAATGGAAGAGGGAATCTGGAACAGAGAAAGGAAATAAGTTGGAAGACTGGACAGAACACTCTTTACCAACATGACCTTTCCTCCCTTCGAAGATATTGTTTTTTCCACCCAGCCAATCTTCTCTCGAAGCGCTCAATAACCAGGTCCCAACTACCTGCCCTTCTAGAAGAGACACCCATAGGCATACCCAAATAAGAAATAGGGAAGGAACTCGTCCTACATCCAAGAACAGCTGCAAAAGAAGCCACCTGCTGAACCTCCCCCACAGGAACAACCACACTCTTCCCCACGTTAATTTTCAAGCCAGAAACAGCTTGAAAACAAACCAGAACACATCTCAAATATCTCAATTGGGATACCTTTGCCTCACAACCTCAATCTTTTAACATTTTGGGTCAATGCACAATGACGTCACTATGGGCGATTTCACCCCACTAGGGGCGATTTTTACAGCGATTGAGACTTTGTTTTTTTCTTTCTTCTTTTTTTGTTTTATTCCACAATGAAATCTTACTTAGAAACTGCAAGGATTCCAAGAATTTCATTAGCTGGGGATGTGAAGTCGGTTGTTTCGCATCGAGGGCCGTCTTTGTATATCGATGGAAGTCCGTCAGAGGGAGGAAATCAGTACTCTCATCTTGCTTGGTTGGTCGTTTTGATAAGGAAGTTGGGGGTTGTGATCGTGTGGAGGAATGGGCAGCGAAAGCATGGAATACGTCCTGTGGTGTGGGGGTTACTCCATTATCTTATTCGATGCTTCTTTTCAGGTTTCCTTCTCAGGCCGAAGCCCAACGCGTGTTAAAGGAAGGACGACGTCACTGGGGATCTACAACTTTACGGATCGATGTGTGGTCTTTTAGGGTTGGATGTTGTGGCGTCCTTAGAGAAAAAGGACTCAAACAGATCCGGATGTTTGGGCTCCCCCTTCATCTATGGTGTCATGCCCTATTTGTTGAAGTAGGGGAGTTATGCGGCGGATTTGTGGGAGCTGTTGCCGATGAAACCAGGGATGCCGAGAGCGTTCGTATTACAGTGAGGATAGGATCGACTTGTCCGCACTTTGTGTTTATTAATGATGATACTTTCTGCTACAAGGTGGCGATTTGGGAAGAAATTGCGCCGGCGTTGGTTCCCTCAACAGAGAGTATCGAAGGCGGCGAAAGGCCTACTCATATGCCGGAGAAAGGATGGGTACGAGGAAGATCAAGTCAACGACAAGCGCCGGTTACGCGCGTCACAGCTGATAATAATTACTCTACACGTGGCGCTCATAGAGTTTCATTTCCAGATTCCACACTATCCTTATCTACAAGGGTTGGTAAGGAAAATGGGCTGGGCCACACAGATTGGCCTAAAGTTGATTTGGGCCGGAGGGGTTATGGGCAAACTAAAGCGTTAAGGCTCAAGCCTGATTTTGGGCTTAAGCTAGCCCATACTAAAAGACGGGTTATTAGAAGACCAAACTCAGTTTCTGTTTCAGTTCTTAATGACCCAAATCCAAGGAAAGCCTAGGTTAAAACTCAAGCCCAAAATCAAACTCTCTCCTCTTCTTCATTTCAGCGTCGGACTGAGAAAGAAAAGTGGAGACGGCCGGTTGGTTCAGCTAGTCGACAAGGTACTTGATGGACTCGTACTGAAAAACAGAAATGGGTAGTATGCTTTCCTTCTCCTTCTCCAGGTTTGACCCCTTTTTCTCATCCTAAGAGCTCATCTTCTACCCCTTCTTCGAGTAAGGTGCTGGGAAATGGTGAAGGTGTAGTGGAGGATCGTTTGGATCAAAAGAGAGGTTTTTCTAAAGCTGTTGTACC